GTTCTGGAATTTAGCTACTCATTCGTATTCTTGGAGTCCTCCTCACGAGATGAATCATTGAATTTGTGCAGGCAGCAGCAGAAGATAAATTCAAAACTTGCGTTACTGCATACAAGTCATTGTGCAACGCGTTCTCCCCAGCTTAACCTTTATCTGACGTATGTATGGTTTCTTTTCTTCAAGTTTCAGAAGCGAAAATCACCATTCATAGTATAATAATAGCTAGCTGAGTCTTATGTATTCTAATTTAGTTCTGTATGATTACTTCCATCACTCTGGCAATAAGGGAGGGGCCCTTTCTTTCCCAGCAGAGTCATGAAAATGTACTTAATAAAATTTTGAAATCTTGTATACAACCAAAGATCCATGCAAACATAAACCAGTTACTTGGTTTCTGAAAATAGGATGTGATCATACCAGTACTATCGCATCGGATTCCCTCAGAACTTTGAAGTTAAGTGTGCTTCGATGAGAGTAGTACTAGAATGGGTGGCTCTTGCTTGGTTGCTTTGCATTCTTTTATAATATTGTAATTTTTTGGTATCTCAACATTTTGTCTATCGGCTAAAAGAAATTTCACCAGCCTAGTTGTAACTATTGTTGGCGTATACTCGATGTATAATGTATATAGAAATTATACATTGACTATACATAGTATACTTGCTAAAGTTTTTTAAAAAATGAAAATATCTTTCTTTGGTTTTAAAATCCTTGGGTTCTCTCGAGAAGTGGGAAAGAGATTTTACTTTAATAATTGTGAAGCTCATAGATTGGCTTGGCAGTAATAATGATTTGTGCCTTTTTATGACAGCAATTTCAAAACTATTATTACATGACTTTTGTAACACGAGAATTCAAATTTAGTCAAACTCTCGTATGAATATAGGATAAAAAAATTAGAAAAAAATCAAAATTATAAATAACTCAAACTTTTGAATCAAATTTAGTTACATGATAATATCTATTAGATGCTATTAGAATTTAGTCTTTTGTTAGTAATACCTTGGTTTTGAACCTATTGTTTTTATACAAGTATTTCATGTTTTCATAGATTTATATACATGTCAACAAAAGTATAGAGAAATTTTATTATTATTAACTTTTTCTTTTGTATTTTGTACATCGGTAATATGAGTCGAGTTTAAATGGTAAAATATAATCCGTTAAGAAGATATTCCTTTTATCCAACAATACTTGTCTACTATTGACTTTACACATTTCTTAAGAAATTATAAGGCAAAATGGTCTGGTAGACCCTTGTACTTGTATCAGTTTGTATTCTGAACCCTTCTACTTACCCATTTGTCATCTGGACCCTTAAACTCAATAAAACACAATTTATCGAACCCCTCTGACCATTGACCACGCTTACGTGTCTTTAAGATGGCTGAGTTGGCGAAAGTGTGTGACTTCACACTTCTTAAGGCAAGTGAGTACTATATTTCAGTTTTAAAAATATTAATAAAAGAATAAAATAATACAAAAATTAAAAATTAATTAAAAAGTCTCCATCTTCTTCACCCACTCCACCTTCATTTGCAGCCATCTACATGCCCCGACTCTTTTTTTTTTCATACTATTGTCATCGTCTTTAAGAGATCTTGACATTGAAGCCTCCTTAAGTCCATTGAATCACCGCTAGTGGGAGAGGTCGATGGTGGTGGTGCTCGTCGGAGAAAACTAGTTCGCAGTTGGGTGAGAGAGACGGTGCTAGTCAGTGGAGAATGAGGCGGGTGAGGGTTGGAGGATTTAGTTACGACAACGAAGAGATTTTCTGCTAGATCTGCAACGCCGGCAATTTAGGTTGGTAGTTATGTGATGGTTGAAGGAGGAGGAAAGAAAAATAGTAGATTTTGTATGTTTTAAGATGGAAATGGGGACTCATCCTTCGAGAAAGAAACGCACCAGCAGCTTGATCTCCTCCATAGAAGCGCCACCATTGTCAAAGTTCAGAAGAAGTTAAAGAGCTTATTGCCTATTCTATTTTGGAAATATGTTGGGTTTCTTTTTTAGCTTAAGGAATAAATTTAAATTTTATTGTTTTACTTTTTATTAAATAAAACACAATTGATTTTTAAATAAATAAATAAATAATAAATGCAGGGGCGGCTCAATGCTTTGTAAAATAAGGCATAGCCTTAGGCCCCAAATTTTGGGGGCCTCAAATTTTTATCAAGAATAAATTACATGTGTTAATATTTTATAGAAAAAATTGATTATTTATGATAAAAAGTATAATATTTTAAAAAATATATTATTTCACCCACTTTAACATCTTTTGTATTTTGTTAAAAATAAGAATTAATAGTAAAAAGTGTTGAACAAAGTGAATTACAAATTATTTTTATTTGTTTTTAAATTTTAGTTTCAAGCATATTAAAATGGGGGTATACCAAGTCATCAACTTCTTGAGATTCTATGTTTCTACTCTTATCTTTATTCAATATTTGTCAACTTATTACTTATAGAATTATGTTAACAATTCATATAATAATTGTCTTGAAAGGATGTTTTACAATGTTGAACTGATAAAATCTTATCTAAAACTAATAACTGAAAAAACAATATTAAATACTAATAATTTTCACCTAAATAGTGTAAGAAAAATAAAAATTAAATAAATACATATACGAAGTTTGTTTATATTTTAGACCTCGAATTGAAATTTAGCTTTAGGCCCCCAATTACGTTGAGCCGCCCCTGAATAAATGATGTGTAATTTTAAATCTGACGTGGATGATGATGTGTCATTTTTGTTGAGAGTTTGAAGTACATGCAAAGCCAATGAGGTTTAAAATGCTAAGTTACATTGAATTTAAGGGTTCAATTGACAAATAATTAAATAGAAGGATCCAGAATACAAATGCATACAAGTACAAGGGTCCATCAGACCATTTCACCAAACTATAAATAGAAGAGTAATTTTACTATATTATCCTATGAATATAATAAATACAACGTATTGACAAATGCAATAAGAAAAATGACTATAATTAATGATAAGAGACTAAGGGTAAATGAGAAACCAAGTATAAAATTATTCATTGATTTCGTAAAGTGGACATGAATTGTTGAACACCCCAAAATAGTATAGTGGACAACTATTATTAGACATAGGGGATAGTTGGCATCCTTTCACAATAGAGTAGTCGCAGTATTTCTCTTGGATACATGCTACTAATATACTCCCTCCGTCCACAATTATTTGGCAGGTATACTAAAAATAGATGTCCAAGATTAATTGTCAATTTAAACAATCAAGAAATAATTAGTCACTTTTTTCCAATTCTACCCTTAATGATTGTGTAGTTCAATTGAAAAGTTATGTGAACTTTTGGTATTCTTGATATAGTAGGGTTATATTAGTCAAATTATACCTTGTATTAAATTTTTCTTGAGGGATGTGCATGACCTTATCCTAACAAACAATTGTGGACGGAGGGAGTATAATATATTGTTTCTTATACTTCAATTATAACACTATTTTATCACAATTAATATTTTTTATAATATTTAATCATAATTTATTCGAAGGCATTTAATAGGTTTAACAAGATGGTAGAAAAGTGTTAATCCGTCATGTGGCAGCTGTCTCATTAGTGAGCTACTTATTACAAAGTGTTAAATTCATTTCATTTTCGTTTTGCGTGACATAGTTTTCGCATTTAACTCTATTAAAACATACCTAAAAAGAATATACACATTTATTAAACATTCAAAACCACTAAAACAACAACAACAATAATAATAATAATAATAAACATTTCAATAAACACTCATATTTAAAATAAATAAAGTTTGATTTTATAAAGTACAATTTTAACTAATTTTAAAAAATCAAACACGTCAAATGTCAACCTGAGTCCAATAATATAAAACGAAGAAAGTACGCACTATTTAAATTAGGGATAAGTGTCTGAAAAATACTCAACCTTAATCAGATTTGATGTTGCGATATTAAACTTTTATGAGAATCTATTACCTCTCTAGACTATTTAATACCGTATTTTAAATATATATATTTTCCCACGTAGATATAAACAATAATGCAAAATCATAAATAGTAATGTGTCCACATGGACACATATATACTTTTAAAATACACTATTAAATAATTCAGGGATAAAAATACGATATTAAATAATCTAGGAAAATAATAGATCCTCATAAAAATTTAGTATCGCAACAATAAATTCGATCAAAGTTAAAATATTTTTCAGACCTTTATCCCTTTAAATTACTACTCCACATTTAATTGAAGTATCGCGTAAAAAAGCAACCAAATACACATATACCAAAAATCCCACTTTCTCCACTCTACCTTTCCTTTCTCCCTTCTTATATTGGAATTTAAATTTCCAAACTATTCAAAAAGATCATACTAATATAATAATACTTCATTTGTTTGTTTTTTAGTTCGTTCAAAAAATAATATCATTTTTTTATAATTAAAAATAATTAAACTTTAAAATTCTCATTCTATCTTGAATGGAACAATTTATAACCAATCAAACAAGTTGTGAAATATATTATAGATCATAAATTTCAAATCTTCTTTCTTTATAAATTATATGTCAAGTCAGACAATATCACATCGATACGAGAGTAAATAACACACAAATCTCTTTCCTAATACTTTGTTTGTCCCAATTTATGTGGCACTATTCATTTTTTAACAGTCAAACAGTTTAAGTTTGACCGATAATTTGCGCATGAAAATTTTAATTTTTTTGAAATAAAATTTATACATTTGTAAACTACGTAAAAAATACTATAAGTCATAATAATTGATAATTCAAAATGTTTAAAACATCTATGAAAAACTTACAATAAAAAAATAAACTTATTTGATTCTCGAAATTCGAAAAGTGACAAGTATGATATTTTAAAAAGAAAATCTAGAAGCACCAACCTACAAAACAAAAATGTACACATCCATAATTTTAAATAAACAAACTACCAAAAAAAAAAATTCACAACCCATAATTCATCCAATTTTTTAAAATTACAATAAATATTTTCCATCAAAATTCCCAAAATTGCCCCTCCCCACCCAAAACCCTAACCAAAGTTCATTCTTTTGAAGATCTCAAAAACAGAGTATTACAACAGATGAAGAAACCATAAATCCATAAATAAAAATCAAGAACCCAAAATGCAATGCCCAATTCCTCTTAAACTTACCAAAATAACTCTCTGGTGGTTCTTGATAATGTATTTCAAATTCATCCCCAATTTCTTCAACCCCACCATTGTTAATCCTCATCTTCAGTTGCCTTAACCTTTCTGTAGCTAACCCTAATGTCAATTTATGACATCTCCGTTGATACTTAAACCCATTTATGCATCTCAATGTTTGTGCTACAGATACGTAGAAAATCAGATGGGATAACGAGAGAAGCCCAATGGGTATCCAACAATGTCGGCATTGAAGCTTCGGAGAAAGAGCTTGACCCAAGAAGATTAGAGATAAGAAGACGAAGAAATGTTGAAACATCTTCCATAGTTCCTTTTTTTGTAAATCGATTGCTCGTTTTTTCTCGAGGGTTTTCTCGAAATGGAGCTGGATTATTGTGTTGATTGCTTGTAGAGCGGTTTCTTTCTGGATCAGATTGTTTGGGTGGTGATGGGTTGGGGCGGCATCGTAATCCGCCATTGGAGAAAGCTTGAAAAAAAAACAGAGAGAAATTGGGGGGGTTTCGGAGTTTAATGGTGACAGTGTGACTGTCAACATGTGGGGGATGATAGTTGGAAGGTTATAATATCAAGGTGAGAGTAGAGTTTAATAACTACGGTTTATTTTTACTTGTCATGTTTTATTTTACACGTAAAAATAGGGCATTGATATTTCTATTTCTTTTTTTGGTTTTCCATCCGACCACATTGGAGTCCCGATTAAATTTGGATAGACTGCGGGACTCATTCGAAGATAGCGCTCCCAACAAAAAAAAAAATTGTATCCAAGCTCGAACCCGAAAGGTTAAAATATCAAGGTGAGAGTAGAGTTTGATAATCGCGATTTATTTTACTTGTCATGTTTTGTTTTACACAACAATAGTTAGTAAAATTATTATATTTTTTATTATTTTTATTTGTTTTGGCTTTTCACTCGGTGTTTAAAGTCCATACTGGAGTCCCGACTAATTACGGGGTTCATTCAAAGGTGACGTTACTAACATGATTTTTTTCATAAAGATTCGAATTCGAAAGTCTGATTAAGGGTAAAACAGTCCTATTACTACACCACAATCCATATTAATATATTTCTGCTTATTAACTCAACGGCATGGAAACGTGATGGGGTGGGGTCCATGTTGGATTGTATATGGATTACAGGATTAGTATGAGATTAATTAATTATACTGTTCTCTTGTCCTAAAAAATGCTTGTGGGGTTTTTAATATTGTCTTAAGATATTATGTAATAATTTCTTTATTTAATTATTTTATTTATGTGTTATAATTATGATATTTGAAATGACAAGTATTTCAAAAACAAGATTATTATAACAAGGACCATAAGTATTTTGAAGCAGAAGAAATATCAACTAAAAATTAGTTTAAAGATATTGCATGGACAAGCTAATAGGCACCTTAATTATTTTATTACTAGTTTTCTTTGATCAAAGTAGAAAAAAAATGGATTTTGAAAAGATTAACCTAAAGTTCTTTTAACTCTCTTAGACAACTTATAAGAAACGGAAAATACTAGTATATGATTTCATGAGAATGGGAACATTATATTACAAATTATATACATTAAAATTTTCGAAAATATTACAGTTCGATCAGAGTGTGTAGTCTGGTTTTCATTTTCTAACAAAGTTCTCCACAAAAAAATAATCTCAATCTTTATTTTGCATATTCTAGTCAATATGCAATGTGTATATCTAATATATACATGTATATATTAAATCATGCATAAGTAATATCACGTTTGGTAGTTAGTTAGGAGGTAAGTTATTGATGTATAAAATTAATAAGTAATGAGAGAATGTATGTATTATTTTATGCAGCATAGAAGATAGAAGGTGGAATAATTAATCTTTGCATACTACTAATACCTGCATAAAAAAAAATACATTCTCTCGTAACTAGTAATATCCGAATAACTCTAACCAACTACTAAACGACCCTGAGTATATGCCAATAATCCTGTATACACTGATTGTATATTGGATTTGATGTAACAATTGGTCGTTTGTTAAAGTGTTTGTTGGGTTAGTCTTTGAGTTTTGGGTCTCACGATATGTTTCATGTACCCACTTTAATATGGTTGAGCCCAATGTGGCCCAACTATTATTATTGTTCCCAACTATTTCATTTGATCGATTTTCAATTTTAGTAGAAATTAAATGGACATATGAAAATGAGAGATGGATAATTGTATATATGTATAGATAATTATAGTTGTATTAGTGAATATAATTGAATCGATGTTGTATCAAATTTGACTGTATTAACAAAATATAATTTATATCTACAAACATAATTGCATCAATGTTGTATTTTTGTAACTAACAAACTCATTTATATTCATTTGTATTTGTATGCATTTGCCATTTGTATTTGTATTTATTGCACCGTATGTTTATATTTTGTGTTGATGACATGTGTATTTATATTTATATTTGTTACTTTGTGTGTTTGCATTTGTATCCATCTGCTACTATGTGTATTTGTATTTGTATTATTGCATTGTGTATTTGTATTTTGTATTACTGAAATAGAGCATTTATCTGTTGACATGTGTATTTATATTTATATTTGTTGTCTTGTGTGTTAGTATTTGAATTCATTTAATTTGCTATTATGTGTATTTGTATTATGTATCATTGAATAAGATTTGTATAGTTGATAGTTATCATTTGTATTTGTATCATTGACTGTTAATTAGCATTTGTATTTGTATCACTAACCATTATTATCATTTGTGTTTGTATTGAGAAAGAAGGGAGGAGGCGAGGAGGAAGGGCAGAGAAAGGAGAGAGGCGAGTGAGGGTGCATAAAAAAAGGAGAGATGTGGGGAAGAGGGAAAATTGTTATTCAATCCTAACAATAGCTACAAATTATATTTATTTCAAACTATAATCGTGTATAGCAAATACACATCGCATGTTTGTCTTACTACGCAATCTTTTCTTATTTCTATACTCTATTTGACATTATGTTACATGTAAGTAATAAATGAAAAATCATGATATTCGCAGTATAAGAGTTTTTAATGTATGCATTAGCATGGTCAAAGATAAAATTGTTCTTCAAATAAATCTTTTCCACATCTTTTTCACTTTATTTGTGGGGGATATTTTTGAAATTAAATTTAAAAAAAAATTATGCGATGCATGTTATTTCTAATACCAAATCAAATAATTATATAAGGAATAATCTCATCATAACTAATACCATCATTATTAGTGTTAGCATTATTAATACTCAATATTCAACATTTTTCTTATATATATCCCCTATCAAATGATTCCTTAATAATTAAAATTCAAACCTACAAAATAAACTTATTGATACTCTATATTCAACATTTTTCTTATATATATCCCTTATATCAAATGTTTCCTTAATAATTAAGATTCAAACCTACAAAATAAACTGACTTATATAACTAAAATTTGAATATCAAAATTAAAATCTTCATTAATAAAAAACAAATAAAACCTTCATTATCTCCTGTTAGATTTAAGTGACTTGTTAGTAGAAGATCTTGTCCAAAGGAAAAAAAGAAACAATTTTTTCGTAAACTTTATTAATTGTTTAAATTCACCGTTTAGTTGCTGGCTTGTTGCTGGGCAAACTTAAAACTAATTTTTTTTTATTAATAATAAAGCAAGAGTAGAAAATGAGACGACTTTATTGACATGGTTATGGTGTAATGGTGGGACTGTTTCATCCTTAATTATAGATCACAAATTTAAACTCTGAGAAGGTCATCTAAATTCTTGTTGACAAATTAACTTATATATATAATTAATTATTCTTTTATATATTTATTTCTTTAGAATTCAGGAGAGTTTGGAGGTTGACAATGATATCACACATCATATTGATGCAGTATGGATGAAGTGGAGGCTCGCATCTGGGGTCTTGTCTAATAAGAAGGTATCACCGAAACTCAAAGGTAAATTCTATAGAGTGGTCACTAGACCGACTTTGTTATATGGCGCGAAGTGTTGGCAAATAAAAAACCTTCATATTCAGTAGATGTATGTTGCGGAGATAAACATGTTGAGGTGGATGTGTGGTCATACTCCTTGATAATGTTAGAAATGAGGATATTCGTAATAAGCTAAGAATGACCTCCGTGATGGATAAAATAAAGGTAGTAAGATTGAGATGGTTTGAACATGTGAAGAGAAGATGTACAGATGCACTAGTGATAAGGTGCAAAAGTTTGGTTATAAAGTGTACAAGGAGAGACAAAAATATGCCGAAGAAGTATCAGGGAGAGGTGATAAGACAAAATATGACCCAAATTGAGGTTACCAAGGACCCAAGTAGGAAAATATGGAGGACACGCATTAGGGTAGAAAATTAGCAGGTAGTGTAGTGTTGTTTTACCTAGAGGGGTTAATATTTGTCATTGTCATTATAATAGTATTATTGTAGTGTTTGTGCTGATCTTTAATTATTGCACTATTTTGTTGTTATATGCTATGTTTTGGACAATTGTTTTGGTCTTCCGTGTATTGTTACTTGATATTTATTGCAGTTGAGTCAATGACCTTTCAAAAACAACATTTCTATCTCTACAAGATAATCATAAAATTTACGTACATTATATCTTAATCATTAATCCTGCTTATAAAATTCTTTGACGGAGGCACGCTTACTCCCAAAGAAAAAAAAAAAACGAGAAACGCATGGGAATATGGGATGGACGGTAGGGAGTGAGGGGACGGCAGCATGGGGTCCAACAGTCCCTAAGATATTTTTCTTCCTTTTTTTTTTTTAAAAAAAATCTCAGAATTTTTTTTCTTGATTAATAATTTTATAATTTGTATAAAAAATCATGTTTTATCATCATGTGAAACAATTATATTGAAAACAGTAAATTATTTATTATTATCAACTAGTAATTTATTATAAAATTAGTGCTAAGGGTGGTAGAACGAACTCTGAGATTGGGACTATGTTCATATCTAGAACTTCAAAAATCTCTGTACATATTGACATATATGGTAATAAAGCTTACAGTTACCAAAATTTTATTTTTTTTATAAAATTATGTGTCATTGAATATTGTCATAATAATAATTTATTTACAACTTAAAAAACGGAAAAAACCTTGAATTACGTATACAAACAAATTAACTTCAAATGAGAATTTTAAATCATATCCAAATACAAACTAAATATAGTCAAAGTTTGGCTTCTCTCTTATTGATTGATTAAAAAATTGCTACATTACTGCGTTTAAAGTCTACGTTTTCATTTTGTTTTTTTCCGATTAGTCATAAAAAAAAATTAATATAATTTTTTCAGCTGAATATATATGAATCTGTTTTCGTAAATTTCAAAATAATGGTTCTTTACTTTACAAAATGTAAATTTATTAATAATCTTTTATATTTTTAAAAAAGGAAACAATGAATTTGAAAAGTTTGGGTAATCTGGAATTACATGTTCAAATGTTCATGTGAAATTTAACTTCAGATTGCATATTCAAATGT